ACATCCACAACAAATTCCATGTTTGAAGCGCCGCGTCGCACAGAAATGGACAAGGGCCTTGACACACACGCAAACGAATGCTTTGGTATCCCAAGAACGAACATGGAAGCTGAAGCCCATTGGCGGCGATGGACAAATTGCGGCCTTGCGTCTTCCTTGTGGCAATACATGGGGGTCTGAGCAAGACATGGGCGGTTTTGGATCCTCGGACCCCATTTTTTTGTTTTTTTTTTTGGTTGGCTTCCCTTTAAGCCAGAAAGAAGGCACCTGGAAGCCTCGGGCCATGCCTGGCTCATGGTCCAGAAGTTCCCGGCTGGTGCCTTCCTTCGGCCGTCCGGGCAGGTGGGAGCCACTCCTGTGGAAGCTGGTGGACGAGGATGGCCAAGAGCTGAGGAGCTGAGCTGATTTGACCCGGAGCCCTTGAGATTGACAGGTTCTATGACTGTATGCTTAGAGGGATCCAAGGCGTCACCTTTCAGGCCATGAGATCCAAGGGAAATTCAAGCCTTCCACATGTGCCATGGCCGACTGGGATGGTCTCGAGGTTGACACCTGTTCCCATGAGTGGAGGTTTGATCACACATGGTCAACCCCCCAGAGATTCACGAAAATCCACTCACCAGTTGGTTCTCCTAGCAATAGGGTTTCATCCATGCAGGATGGTCCACAGGATTAAGAAACCCATGGTCATGGCCCACAGGAGCTTATGGCACATAGGCTAGAAAACCGTGTAAACGCAAGTCGGCCACCCAAGATGGTCAATTGGGGGGTTCAAGGCTCGGCAACCCAAAGTTTCAGACAGGGGCCAAACTATATTTTGAGCATAGTTTAGAACAACGTGTTAAGTATTTATTCAACTCATTATGCTTATTGACCTTGGAGCACAGCACTTGGTGTTGTTCCAATGTCCACAGTATCGGGTAAGTGACGCACCGCACCGGCTATTCATGTGAATTTGATCGTCTTGGTCATCCCGAGGGGAAGGGACATGCGGACATGCGCGTGTGAAGAGAGACGCCGTGCCCGGTTCGGTGCTTGCACATCGGGTTCCGAAGGAAGGGCCCCGAAGTCTCTTACTCTTATTTCAGACGGCACAGTGGGGAGGTGTTTTGAGTTTTGGTACAAAGCGAACGTATTTGCGTCATGAGAAATCGGGGGATAGATTCGAACACTGGTCCATTCTCTTCTTTGGTTTCAGAGTCCCTTCTTCAAGGAGTAACTTATCGAGCATTGCTGCCTAGCACAAGAGCTCATGATGATAATAACAGCATGTGAGCCACAATCAAAACCTGGGTAGATGAAGGTTAGTAAGGGACAATCCCCTGGCCATAAATAGCTGCGGATATCCGCCTTCTTAATTCTTGAAGCATGGTTCTAGGTCAACCATTGTAATACCGGGTTTTGATTGCGGTTCATGTGACGACACGGAAGCAAGCGGCTTGCCGCTTGGCCACGAATGATTCGGAACCTCGGCTCGAGGCAGCGGCTTCGTCTCTCCGTCGGAGCTGAACATGGCCCCGTGGGTGAAAGCCGTGGGTGCGGAGCAGTTGGGGTCTTTATGGACCCCTTTTGGAGCCCTTGTAAAGGCGGGCACCCTAAACCCTCAACCCTAAACCCCCACATAAACCATGGACCTTTCTCCCATTTTGCAAAATAACCATATGCAAAAAACTATGTGCCTTGGATTTGTAATGTGAAGCCGTTCTTCGAGGTCCGGAGGTTTGTGGAGTTGGTCAGGCTTTGACGCAGTTGGCCAGTTTAGCAGGAATTGAGGAAGCCGAGATTTTGGAGGTAGCTTGGACATGTGGTCGCAAATCTTAAGGGCTTGGGGTCATCGCTTCAGCAAAGGTAGCGATGGTAGCCCCCTTTTTTTGCGGAAGGGCAGGCCATCCCCGCCATTCCGAATCATGCCGGGCTTCGCAGCCCCGGAGACTGGGGTCCCCCCAAAGTGATCCAGTTTGTGTTTAGATGTTGCGCCTGGAACCAGCCAAGTGCTCATTGGGTTCGCATTCGCAGACCTTCCAGAATGCAAGCTTTGGCGGGTGGAACCTGAGGCATTCTCAGTGAGGCAGTTTATGTCCATTTGAGACGTCGCGGAAGCAAGTCACCTCAGAGCGTAATTGGGGCTGAAACGCTCCAGTTCGTGCTCTGAACTTGTTGTTTCCGGCCTGGCGTTTTTGAAGCTAACGTCATTTGCCCCCTGCCCCAACGAATGGGCCCCGTTTTTTTTCTTCTTCGTCCAGCCAAAGGGCTGCTTGCATTGCCCGGAAGTTCTCCGGGGCTGAGGGGAGAGGCGCGTGCGCCGCCCTTCAGTGATTCTGTGCTTCAGTGCGTGACCAGACTCTCGCAAGAAAAGCCGAGGAGTGTGGGGAAATTGTGGTATACATTTGAACCGGCCCGGCCCGGCAGCATCCCCAAGATGGCTGGGGGTGCCCTGGTACAAGGCCCCCTCCCGCCGGAGGTTTGCGCCCGAGCCTGGCCAATCTCACCCTGTACAGCTGGGTGCCCTTGTCAAAAAGACAGGGCCCTTCGACCCGCTGTGCTCTGTCTCTAAACAGGGAACCCGAACCACTTGGTTGACCGCTTCAAGGGAAACCGAGAGGAAACCAAGCGCTTGCATGGGTGCCTGATTTTGAGACACCCACTGGAGGCTCGATTGCACATTTATGGAAAGAAGTGCTGCGATGTGCCGGATGTGCTATGGTCCATGCGCCTACATGGTCGGGGATGGTGCTTGGCCCTTCAATCACGTGACAGGCCACCCAGCTCTTAGATCTGCTGGACAGCGGACTGAGGCTGTTTCCCCACATGCAGAAACCTCACCCTAATTAGCTCCGAACACCCCCCCCCCCCTGCGTCAGATGTTTGGCTTGGCGCCAAGCTGACCCCCACTGATCTGTTGCAGCCCTCCATGGCTGGCTGGCTGGCTGGTTTGCTGCCTTGTAGGCCGTTGTGTTGCCAAAATTGTTAACTTGCTTGTGGGGGTAAAGGGGAGTGCGTTCGCGTGGGTCCATTGTCCATTTCGGACAAGCCAGGGAGGCAATCAATCCAATTTTCCCATGCCCTTTTGGGCAAAGTTCTTTTTTCCCCATTGCTCACGTAGAACCCATACCCGACATGAGACACCCTGCCCCGCTTGGCCCTTCTGCAGAGAGGCCCGTAGCGAGGTATATGCCCAGTGCGTGGACATGCTGTCCCTCCTGCCCCTCGGATGCGGCGAATCTAAGACTAGGCACGCTTCGGCGATCTTGAAAGGGGACATGCGATCCTGGATCCCTGTTATTTGGAAGAAACCGAACCATTGTGTTTGACGACGACTCTTCATATGTGTTTGGAGTGCAGGTTTTGCCGTTCGGGTCAGCCAGATTGGACTGGGGTTGTGCCTAAGAATCGGATCGAGGATCCACTGGCAAGGGACTTCCAAAGGCAACAGCCGGTCCCGATGTTCGGGACGGAAGGAAGATGCCGTTGCCAGCGCAGATGTCGCACGCCCAGGTTTGGCAGGGACCACGAGTTCTTCCAGGCCGCCGAAAGCGTTGCTTTCACTTTAGAAAGCGTATCCACGAGTGCGTCAACTGGTTCGTTTGACTCAAGCGTGGCTCAGGGCTGGGAGTGGAACTTGAACATCGCAAGCATCAAGCAGGGATACTAAGCGTCCCGTTTTTGGCGGTTTAAACATCGCCTTCCAGTTGCCATGTGTTTTTCTTTCTTTCTTTCGAGTTTTCTTTTGGGTGCTGGTAGGGCAAATCTTGGCTTCCTTGTCACGGCACCTTTGTCCAGGCGGTGGATGCCAAAGCTAGGGCACTGAAGGAAGACATGGAGAGGCCGATGCCGGGCAGGTGACATTGGTTGCTAAATACCCGCTCATTTTGTTTGTTTGCCCCAGAAGGAAGCCAAAGGACTTGTCTCCTTGTTCCAGAACCCTATTTAGCACCAAGAGTACAAGGCAACTTTTGCCGAGCGGATGGATTGAAACAACAAAAAACAGCTCACCTTTTGCGTTTCTGGACTTTCCTTTTTGGTTGGGGGAGCTCGATTTTTGGTCGCGCAGAGGGACAGTTCTCATACTTTTCTGGTCCCAGAAGGGGGAGAGCCATCAGGGCCAACCTGAGGAAATGCTTCGACCGGCCCACTATGGAGGGTTTTTCTTGTCACCCGTGTGCCATGCCGCAAATCAAAGAAGATCTCCTTGCGCGCGTGGAAATGTTGGAATGTGCTGGAAAGGAGTTGGCGGGTGAGGTTTGTTAGATTTTGCCGACGGGCTTAGGATGGCCCAACCAGTACCTTGGATATGTCATTTTTTCTCCCCCCCCCCCCCCCCCGAGTGGCCATCAACCATCTCGGTTGGGCTGCCATGGCCACATGCGCATGGACTAAGGCTTACGAAGCGCGAAGAACAATTCAAAGAGACGCACATAGACCCGTCTCTTGAGCTCCATGCGGGCCTGCGGGCATGTCGGCCCTGCGAGGGTAGATCGTCACAACGCGTATGATTAGTCTTTTTGTTCGGGTTTTTGCTACTCTAGTTGGAGTGAAATTGAACAAAAAAGGCTTATGAAGGCCAATGGGGGACATCCTCAAAAGTGGTCGGAACATAAATCCCAGTGTAAATGATGTCAAGGTCCCCATCCACCATGTGTGCTGAAAACTGGGGATCCCCAAAAATGCCCGGTCTCCTTTCAGCTTCCCCTTGAACCAAGCATGGCTTTCCCATGAAGACAAGCCCGTATTCCGGCACCCCTTGATTGGCGGGGTTGGTTTGGGAATATGAACCCCTGTTCTTGTGGTTAAATTAGAAACCACCCCGAAACTCACCACCAAACCACCAATCTTTCAACTAAAACGGCAACCCACCCTCAAACTCACCACCAAACCACCAATCCCTTAATGACTAAAATGGGAAACCACCCCAAAACACCACACACACACACACACCCAATCCCTTCACTAAAGCCACGCGCCACACCGGGGAAGCCGCCGTATCGCCTCGCTCGTGCGCCATGGCCTGGGACTACGATCTCTGCCTCCGGGACGACGTCTGGCGCCTCGAGGCTGATGGGTCCACGGTTTCGAAGTGGTCGCACTTCGAAACCTTGGTGGAAGCCGTGGGCTTTTTGTTGGTAGGTTGATAAGGGGGAATCGGACACCGGAGTTTCTGAGAGTTCGACAATTCCGCGGTATGTTCCTTCTGTTGCTTGGAAGGGAAGGGGGCTGTTGATATGAGTCGTGGTCAAAAGACCCCTTTGCGGTTGATACGAGGTCATCATGAAGCCCATAGGGTCATATACACAAACCATGGTAAGGGTTCCTGGTGAGGGAACCATGACCATGGCCCGCATCATGCGTGTTGGACACAGGCAGTAGGATTGAATGACAACTTTGCGGGCTGGTGCCATGTACATACAGGGGACTGGTAGCCCGCTCCAAAGCGATGGGGGACAAACCAATTTTCCCATGTCCTCTTGGGGAAAACATACACACTGTTTCCGGGGCTCATACTCCCCAAGGCTCGGGGTTGGCAGGAATGGTCATGCACCCCTGAGATATTAGACAACCATGGGTTTCTGATATGAGAAGGAGTATGAAACTCCCCCAAATGGGTGGTTTTCCCATTGCTACCCCTCAAACGAGAGCCCTCGACACATGCATGCTGATGTCACATTCCCAAGCGGGGTCGGATGTAGGTGTGGTGCATTTTTGGTGCTACGGTACCCGTTTTGGGCCGAAGTGACACCAAAGCCCCGCTTGATGGAGACAAGACCCACATGTCGTCTTTGCAATGTTCTGAAAGTCGGGCAACCCATGAGAACGAGTGGTTGCCCTTTGGTTGCCCTTTGGTTGCTCTTTTGAGCTCCGCCGGGAAGGGTCCCATCAGAAAGACGCACCAGGAGTGTTTGTCTCTTTGCCGTGCCAGGTGCCAGTGACAGGCGATGTCAGCGTCGTGGCAGCAACAGATCTCGCCGCCTGATCCATCCCGAGGTCTCGGAAGACATGGCTATGAGTTTGAAACACTCCAAGAAAAGGTGAACGGCATAAATCCCCCATGTGAATGTTGTCGGAAAAAAAAAGGTTCACAGATAGAGTTCATAGCCATATGCAGTCGTCCTTGGCAGAGGTTTCAGCGAGAACGCAGGAACTTCCCACCGTTCGGAGGAACGCCGCATATCACATGGGATTGATGCTGAATGAGGGGACCCCTTTTGTTGCTATGTAAAGGGTCGGATAAAGCCCTGGTGGGGTAAACCACCAATCCGAGTGGATCAAGTGTCCATGCCCAAGGTGTGGACGTCTCCCCCACAGAGGTGTGCCTCTCATTGCCCGGAAGCCAACGCCGCATCACGCTGCCGGTGCACGCGGCGCTGTGTGTGGAGCAGTGCAGCGTGCGGCGCGACAGGCTGTGGGGGGGAGAGGTGCTCGTTTCAGAGTAAGGAGCTGGGATGAACGAGGCTCCCCAAATTTCCCTTTTGGACAACCCGTAAAATGCCCCAGTTGATGTTGGAACCATCAAAGGGGAAATGATATACAAGCCCCGACCTGCTAGCCCATGGTTGTTGAATTTGGCCGTGTCCTGTTTAAGAGAATCTGGATCGGAATTTGTGCGGGAAACACCTCCAAACTAAGCCACCCGTGGACGACCATCGTTGACATTGTGTAAGAAGTCCGGGAATCCCCTTAGAGTGTCGAACCTGCAAGGGTATACGCCAAACTGATTCCTCTGAAAGGGTCCGCCGCTTTCTCTCGGAAATTACTTCCCTGCAGCAGAAAATGATTTTGCGGTTTTCGCTTTTTGAATCCCTTAGTTTGGCATGGGAGGTTTGGCACACGAAGCGATCCGTCAGGCGCGGGCGGCTGCACCTGGCCTGGCCCGGATCGATCGGCGGTTCTTTTCCCGTCCTCAGGAGCCTCACGAGCCAAGAGCCCGGGGTTCGACCAGTTTCAAACTTGGGTATTCTCTTGCGATGGGCACCCAGCCTTTTGCATACGCATGGAGACACCGAAATTCTGAAGTTACGGGGAGGGATTGTTTGTGGTGACCCGAAGGGCGCGATCTGTTCCTTTTTTGGAGTTTGCGCCAGGAGAGTTTGCGAGGCGCCCCTCATCTTCGTGGCGCCTCAGTTCTTGGAGAGGGATCTGTGCTCCGAGCTGATCCGCGCAGCCCAGAAGCACGGAAAGGCGGTGCCCATCTTCGGGGAAGACGTGAAGTACGACATGCCAACCTGGCCGGAGCGCAGCGATCTAAGCCCGGCCTTGAGCGAAGCGCTGGAATCCATTTATAGGACCATGGTTCAGGGTTGGCAGGTGGAGTTGATGTGGTTGGAGCTGCTTCAGAAACGGTTCAAGGAAGGCGCGATTCGAATCTCTTGTGACTTATAAGTCTAGGATGGCGGCTTCGTTCACACCGATTGGTGCAGGTTTGCAGCATTTGTGTGTGCTCTTTTTGGAACGTTCTGGTTTTGGGGGCTGCTTTTGAGGGGAACCAAGAGGAAACCCATCTCAAGCCCATGCCCTATTTCGAGACAGCTCGCGCAAAACATTTCCCCGCCAGAAGCTGAAAGTCCTACCCGGGAGACCGAGCCGGGGCCAGGAGGCTCGACTTGCTGATGGGCACTGTCCGCCGTGTTGACGAGCATCCCGCGCGCGTCCACTTCGTGGCCCCAAGAGGCCAGCGAAAACTCCGCGGAAATCTGTGCGACGCGCTTCCTAGAACTTGTTGGCTGAACCTAAGAGAGAGGGATGTTCCGCACACGCAAGCACTGCTTCGTTCCTCGAAAGGGAATGGTGTTAATCTAATTCAGCCAACAGGCTTTGAGACACAAGCTTCTCATTTGCTCAGGCCTTTGACTGATCTCCAGCACCAATGTGTGTGTGAACTAGAAGTGATTGTAAACGTGGCAACAGACCCAGCATTCCTAATGTCTTTCATGCCCAGTTCGTTTTTGTTCCAGCTCCTTCTGCATGAAGCAAAGTTCTCCCAGTTCAGCGGAGGCCGGTCTTCCCGGTTGCCCTCGGGTTTGCACCTGGACACCAACGGGGCGCCGTTCCGCTTCTGCACGGCGCTGATCTATTTGGACACTCTGCCGCAGCCCTCGGGGGATGGAGCCACCGTCTTCCCCTGTGCCCAAAACGAGGCGAGGAGTTTGGGGGGCAGGCGAGGGCCAGCTGGCGTTTCGGCAGTCAAGATCCTTACAACTTGGGTTGCGATGTTTTTTGTGTTTCTGGTTTCCATATGTGGCAGCCCAAAACGACCACTTGTCTCACCCCCCCGCAGATTTCTGCGCGAATCAGCCTGTGAGGGACCCACCCCCGACAACGTTCTAAGGGCTACCGATTGGTGACTGCAATGAAGCAATCATCATGGGAATCCCCCCTTTTGAAGGAAGAATAATGAGCCAGGGGAACTTCAAAAAGGAGAGTCGCTGGATTTTGACTCCGGAGGTTTGGTCGCAGTCGGCGCATGACGCCGCCAAGAAGCTTCTGGCGGAAGGCAATCTGCACACCTCCAACTTGGCGGATCCGGATTTGGAGCCTTTGGCACAAGAGCTGGTATTCGCAGGTGAGGAGAAGCAGGGCTTGTCGGTGTATCCTGAAGCAGGTAAGCTCTTGCTCTTCTTCACCATGGGCGACCACGGGGACGTGGACCCCATGTCCTGGCACGGCGGGGCCCGAGTCGGCTCTGCGGGCGCCCATGGGGGCAAGTGGATGCTGCAAATCTTCAAGACCATTCCACCGGAGCTGCGGAACCACCCGGATGAGGTCACGCGCTTTTTGACTCGCTGCCGCCAGCCTCCATCATTTGTTCAAGGGCTGAGTCACCACCCGCAGGAGAAAATAGAGAAGCCGACTCCTTGAGCGCACCAGCGATTGGCCGCTTCTTCAAGGAACTCGCTTCGGCTCAAGCAAGGGCTGATGCCGATCCGCGGAAAGCCACAACTGGCTGCGACTCGACGACGCATCTTTTCAAAATTGAGCCGGTGACTTCATGTCACATGTGCCCGTGACAATGACCCAGCTAAGGCTTCGATTTTGCTTCTAATTGCTGGTCAGAGTGCAAGTTGGCTTTCTCCAGTGCTCCATGTTCAAGACGGCAAGTATTTGACAAAGGCCCTGAAAGACATTCCGCTCGTCAAGTCCGTCCGCGAGAGGCTACATGCTGCCTGGAGTGAGCTTCCACTGCAGGTTCAAGAAGCTCCTGCCTACCAAGATCTCAGAGCCTTTACCATGGCCAGATTTCCAGGTTGGCGCTTGCCCAAAGAGGGAGCTGAAACCCACTTTCCGGCCACAACTCCTACGTTCCCGTGTCCTTCATGTCTTTTTGGCTTGCATGGAGTTTTGAACCGAATCACTCCATGGTTTTTCCCACTGGATGAAGTCTCAGTTCTTGAGAGTTAGTCCAGGTTTCCCAGCCGATTATGGAAACTTGCCCAAGCTTCTCCAGGCGGCGCTCACATGCTGCCGAGCCCCTCGCGGGGCCTCCTTCTGCGGCGCCTGTGTACGGCCTTCGAAGCCCGCAGCGTGCTGGAAGTGGGACCCTTGGCAGTGTTTGATTCGTACGCAGTTCCTCCCGCTGACATTAGCATTTGTTGGAGGGTGCCTGGAAGATCAATTCCCTCTTTTAAGGACCCTTTGTCAGGTGCCATGTGAGTGGGAGGGAGGGTAACCTCCCAAACTTGCCAGGAACGACTGCTGGAAGCACGTCAAACTATTTAGGCAGATGTTGAGCTGAATTTGAATGGGCACCAACCTCCCACATGGTGGACGTAACGATCAAAAACAGCATGAGACTTCATGGCGGAGGGCGCTTAACTTGGATGCTTGACCGTGGCAAGCTGCAAATGATTCCCTGAGGATCCTCTTAGGCTCTTTGACTGGGAAGAACACAAGAAGCATCTCAGATGTTGCATCCACCGCTGGGTTTTGGACGTGGTGACTCGAGGGGGGGGTGTATGGACGCGACCTCTATCTTTGGGGCTTGTCATATTTTGAGAATCCAGACCAAAGTCAAGGGTGAAAATTCGGCCTATCTGAATCTTACCCTGGACATATACCCCGCAACGGACACCGGAAGCGGTTACTGCCACTGCTGCTGCTGCTGCTTCCTCTTGCTGCTGCGCTTGCGACCCTGGCAGGCTATTGCCAGTGCACCTGGCAGTAATTTGAAGGTTTTCGACGTGCTCCCGTATGTGCAGTTGAACCAGAGTGTAAAGCCTATCTTCGTCGTATGTCTTATAGCATACTCGTTGTAATATATACATATATATATATAATATATAATATAAATATATATATATATATATTATACATGGAGTTTGGTTTGCTTGCGTTCTATGCCTTCGAGAGAGAAGGGGTTCGACGATGTCAGGCACCTTCACCGGCTACTCCGCGCTGTGCTTTGCAGAGGCAGGAGCCCAGGCGCCAGGGGCCAGGGGTGAGTCATGTGTAGTGGTGGTTTGCTGTTTCCGTCACACACGGGCACGTTTTTGCCGGGGCATGGGCTTTGGGTGGTCCCCAATCTGTTTGTTGTTGCAGTATTCAGGGTCGCTAAAACATGACATATGGACCATGTTGCGCTTTGCATTGTCCAGCAGATGTGGAGGATCACCGTCAACAGACGTTGATTTTGGGACGCATCCTCTGGGAACCCTGACATTGCCCGCCATGGGACGCCACTGGCAGGTGCTTAGCATCGAGCGGTGCAAGCTCCAAGCCGCCGCAGCTCGAGAGATCCTGACGCAAACCTTGCCCAGGAGACGGTTGCGAAGACGCAACAACATGGTCACCAACAAACACTCTCCCAGCAGGGAGTTTGGACTGCTGATGAAAGGATTCCTTTTGAGGGGATCACGACTGCGGTCCACATAAGGTGGCTCACATGTCGCTGGTGGCTTCCCTGTAGTACAGTCAAAGGCCGACCTCGTTGCAGGAGGGACATCAGCCAAGCTGCCGTGGAGGCCACGCCGGGATGTGGCACTGCGCCACACACTGCATGAAGCACACCCACACAGAGACACACCGCAAGACAACATCCGAGCGCACACACACGCAACACGCACACAGAGCGTACATACAACACGGGCATCACTCGGCATCACACAGAACGCAACACGCACACACACACAAAGTACAAACACAGAGTGCGCGCGCACACCCACACACCCACACACACAGAGCACCCACACACACGCACACAGAACACCCACCCACCCGCCCGCGCCCGCCCGCCCACCCACCCACGCACGCACGCACGCACGCACACACGCGCACGCGCACACGCACACGCAAACGCACACGCACACGCACGCGCACTCGCACACGCGGTCGCGGTCGCGGTCGCGCACGCGCACGCACACGCACACGCACACACACGTGCACACGCACACTGAACGCGCGCATACACACCCAGATATACACACACACACCGGACGGAACACACATGCAGAAAACAAAGACACATGTAGAGCAGAACATAAGCAGTCAAATACGCAGAACACACTACGCAGATTGTAATACAGAACGCAACTCAGTGCAGAGAACCCAGCACACAGGACACCATGCATGCACACACACAACATGCCTCACAATACACACACACACAACCCACAACAGAACGCACAACACACAGCGCGCAGAACACACAGCACGCAGACAACACACACGTACAACACACACACACACACACGTACTGCACAACAGGAGACATGCCACGCAACACAACACATCACAACACAACACAACACAACACGACGCACAACAGCACAACGCAACACAACACGACACGCACGACACCACACTACAAGACACGACACAGCACAGCACAGCACTGCGCATCATATATGACATGCAAACCAGGTGCATACACAGAACTCTCTTACACAACGCAACCTACTTGCACAACACGCACTCATCACACACGCACACACAGCTACACACTTGCACAGGCGCAGACAGGCACAATGAGAAGCACACACACAGTGGATGCATCACCTGCAAATACACACACACACATTTTGATAGTTTGGAGACATGGCGTTCTTCCGAACTATTGATGGAAGAGCAGCAGTGCAGTGCCAGCTCAATCGCAAGCATTCTGTCGTGATAAGGGTCTTGCTTTGTTCGTCCGGTCTTGCAAGGGATGCCTTTGTGGAGCACCAGCACAGTCGCATCCTTGCGGAGGTACGGCGTGGGTTTGCCAGCGATGTCCTTCCAGAGCTCGCCGGATCTGAAACTTATGATCTGATTCACTTGGATGCAGCTGCTCGGATAGAACAGTCATCCAATGTGGCGCAGTACCCCCCGTTGTTGGACTCGGACAGCCCAGGGCATGAAGAGCTACATGCAGTTCTTGGACTTGGCTTTAGGTCGCTTGATGGCAAGCTCACCCCATTTTCTGGGGGGCTCCTCTTCCTGTTTTGGAGCAGCTCGACACTCGAAGGTTTTGGTGACAGCATCCATGGTCAATTATTCAATAAAAAAGGGGGAGGGACCCTAAGTTTGGAAAAAAAAGGGAAACCTGTGTATTTTGGCCCAGGATCAAGCCTAATTATCTCCCACTTAGCAAAATGAGGGGGTAGCCCATACTTTTTTTTGGGGGGGGGAATGCCCTGCAAGATTCCGGGATCAATAACCGCTCTGAACCCTCGCGCTATTTGCAGGTGGCGGACTCCTCGCTGAAAGCGGCGTGGTCTTGGCCGACAACGTGCTGTTCCGGGGCATGGTCACCAACGCCAGCGCCCGCGTGGGAGGACTCCAAGCCAAAGAGCCGATCGGAGCAAGGAACCTGCTTTTGGAAAGGCTTTGCGCAGTTCCAAGTGGGAGGGTGAGTGGCAAAGCACTTGCAAGCATGGTTCTGCCATGATCATGAGGCCATTGGGTTTGATAGTAACCCGCGACCCCAGTCGAACGGTTGAGGCTCTTAAAGTACCCACGTCGCCACAGTTTCGGAGTTTTGGGGCGGTGAGGCAGGGTCCAGCCACAAGCACTCAGCTGTTTATGGGAGCGGAGAGTTAGGACGCTTCCAGCGAATTGCGGAGAGCCTCCACTCCTTCAACGTCCGGTATCTTCAAGAGGATCCAAGGACTCAGGGAGTCAGCTGCTGAGACGCGATCATTCATCTCGCGATCGCTTTGGCAAATGCGGCGAAAGTGTGCCATTGACCTTCAGCTGGAAGGGTCAGTCTGGTCAGTCTGGTCAGTGAGTCCGCTGTAGCCATGAGTTTGAATTGGAGAACTGAGACAGCTGCATGTAACACGTAGCCATTTTCGAAGAGGAATGAGCATCTAAGTCCATAACATTTGCACGCAGTTTTGACCGTCTGATGTTTGCGGAGGTCATTCTGCCCCACGACGACGGCCTGGCAGTGATTTGGCCAAGAACTTGATGAGCCTTGAGGCAGTTGCTCTCGAGCCAAACGGACTGGATGAAGAAGGGCTGGAAGAATGACAACTGCAGCACCACGATCCGGAGACACAGTGCTGCTGTGGGCCGAATGGCAGTGCGCACACGGAAGGCGCGAGAGAGGAGTCTCCAAAGGCTTCCCCAGTGTGCTCGCTTGCATGCAGCGTCGACTACTATGGTTCACGAGACGGCCAAAAGGTCTGCGCAGTGAGAGGGGCTTCCGCCTCGGACGTGGATGCGAAGGCCTGACTAAGTCACTATGAGCCTAACAGCCCCGCGGGGAACAACGTGCGGCCGGAGTGTGCAAGTGTGCCCAGGTTTTTGGAAAGCCGAAATGTGTCAGCACATCATGACTGCAAATTTTCGCCATGCTCTAAACACAAATGCTTTTTTAGACCAAAAACACGCTCTCCTCCTGGCTTGCTTGCTTTTGCCCCTATCGCATTTTTTGGACTTGGGTTCCTGAAGGAAAACCATGGCCGGAATTTGCCACTCAGACCATACCCACATTTCGGTCCCGGACGCCTGCCAGGCTTGGATTGGAGCCGACCTGACTTCGCAAAAGGGCGCGACAGGGTTCGGCGTGTGGAATAGCCCCCATGGTGATTGGAGGAGAGGGTTTTTGAAGTTGTTGGTGTTGCCATTTGATTGGTTGCTTAAAACTGGCCCACATTGATTGGATGAGCTTGGCAATGAGTTGCGCCATGAATTTATAAGACGAACACCAATGCATCTATCATCTGCGTAGATTCGGATTATGTCCATCAGTAACAGCTCCCAAAACACTTTGTTAATCAGTTTGTCCCAGAGAAACCATCACTAAAAGGCAGAAAGGCCAGTTTACGGTGAAGGGTTGGAGGGGCACAAAACCTTCAAAAGTTCCCGAACCCTTGTGCCCGTTGCAAGTCTCCACGCATCTTTTCCTTGAGCAACTTCAACTTGGACCGTACTTCATATGCAGGATGTTGCAGCCTTTCGCCGCTGCCTGTTGATCATTTAGTCGACAGCATGTTTGAACCTGGAAAATCCGGTCTTGTTTGCAGCCGGAAGTTGTAGCCTGGGAAGCAAGAGGCTCGCAGCTGGCTGACTTGTCTTCTCAAGTGCATCAAGTGCGTCAAGTGCATCAAGTGCATGGAGAGACGCTAATCCTACGGCACTGCTCTGGTTCCCAACCGCGCTTCTTGGCTGTCTTCATCCTTGATATATTGCAAGCGCTGTAAGAGTATTACCATGTCTTTGGACCGTCGCACACATCCCATCATTTGCTTTGGAAGAAGACTATGGTCATCACTTGCGTTGGAAGAAGGCTATGAATAATTATGAGCTTTTCCAGTTCCACCCCATCGCCGAAACCCCAAGATCCACCGAAAGACTCTGACCAAACCAAGCCTAGCGCATGGCTGGCCATGGCCGACAGCTTCAGCGGGGCTGTGAGGCCTCTGGAGAAGAAAACCTGCCTATAGCGAGCCCACCTCGTAGAAGGAGCTCGCCATAAAGGTCCTTTAATTACTTCAGGATCCCTGAAATCAGCTTTTGGAAGTAGAGTAAATCTGCAGATGCAATGTCTCAGTTTGACCGTTGGCTTATCAACTTAGGCAAACACGCTCAGATGTTTGTTTTCAGGTGGGCGGGCGATCCATCCAAATGCCTGGACGTGCAAGGCGCGTCTTCTTGGGGTAGGTGTGGCTATGTGCAGACTGCTCATGATTCATGGGCTCCATGTGATTCGAGTCAATCCACCGGCAGTTTTCATGTAGTTGGCATGTGCAACTTGAATCGGGCAAGTGTCGGGTTATTCTCCCACTGACATTTGAACATCAACAATCTGGTGTTGAAGATGTTGAAGCCAAATCCACGCGAGGTGTTAGCGTAAAGCACCATTCCCAAAGGGAGGTCTCAGGTTACAGGTTCCCACGGGGTATCCCCAAAAGGCAGCGGTCAGGTGCCATTTTGGACCGGTGGCTGAGGCGGGCAGCCGCGGGTGGGCACGCAGCTGGGGCTCTGGGCCTGCCGGGCGGATCATCCAAATCAGCTGGGGGCCACGGACAGGGGGGGAGTGCCCTCGGTTGATTTTGAAAGGGAAGCCAAAAGGAAACCAACACCATTTTTTGGGTTGTTTTCTGATTTTCAGACAATTGAGAGACTTCCGGAATTCGAAAGAGTGTGGGGTTCGGCCTCGGTTGTTGTTCCAACCCTTGCGGCTCTTGTTCAAGCAACACCCCTCCCCCCGAAAAATCAAATGGCTGGTTTTGTTCTAGTGTTCCTTAACCAGATGGGTGGTTCTCAAAAACGGGTTCCATATGTTGTCAACAAACCTCAAACATGAAGGGGTGGAGTGACCATGCCCTGATCGTGGAAACAGTGACAGACCACAGAGTGCCATTCTCTACAAAGATGGAGGGTTCACTTGCTGAGGCAGTTCTCTTGGAGTGCAACGGATGGCAGGACAGAGTGCAGAGACTCAGAAGTGAGAGACTTCTCCCCTTTTCCTATCTGGCTGTGGGTCAAAAATAGGGCGACCCCAAAATGGAACCCTGGTAAATGGACATATGGACTACAATCTTCGGTCCCCTGATGGCCTAATTTTGACCCATACCCATCTAATCATAGTATATGTTTATTCATTTAGAGCTGCATCCCAGAAAGAAGCCCAGGGACAGCCAAGAGGCAGCTGTCGCCGAGCTTCGGCAAGCCTCAACCTGTCGCCGAGTCGCATGCAACTTTGACTCACCAAAGGTTGCGGCGCTGGCCGTGGCAACCGGTCGCATTGTGAAGATTCCCACCTTTTCGCCAAACCCCCTTCCACCGCATTCGCAGCCGGCGATTCCGGTGCGATTCCCGTGCTTGTTGCGGATGCGTTCGAGGCGTTCGCGGCTCTCGAATCCAGGATTCGCTGGTTGACCTACCCCTCATTTTGCCTTCACGGGACAAAGCTAGGCCTGGATGGGCTTGACTGGGCTGAAGTCCCAACCAAAGGCGGATATCCCACCCTATCATTGTGTTGCAAAGGAAAGAAGTCTTCAAACCTGCTCCTGTCAAGCCCAAGCTCTTGCGGGTAGAGGGTGGGTGACATCTGGAGTTTCCACCATGAATGTTTCGGTTTTCATCATCCTATCTCAGCAAGATGGTCAGCTTGGTTGCATGTCCCCTTGCCGTGGGTGTTTTTTCCAGGAAAACGGCTTCACCTGCATAGAATGCGTGAGGAATTTCCAAGGGACTTTTCATTCGGCTTTCATTGGTCATCCCCTGTGGTGGCGAGGCTTCCAGCCAATGAGAAATTCGTCAGTACCTAGGCGGCCCAGTGCAGAGATGGTTTTCCCCACCAATCCGTCCGTTGATTTCGGGGTCAGCGGTTTGGGGGGAGCTCCAGCCAGGTCAGCCCGTGTCTTTGGCCCGTTGCGATGAGCTGCCCCCGAGGGTGAGCGCCAGACCTCGAGGTGTGCAGGCAAGTGCGAGACGGCGATCGCATAGGTGTCCTTTTTAGGTTAGTTAGATTAGCAATAGATGGCACTGGTTTAGGTGGGATTTCTTCCATTTACCAAGGCTATCTATTTTTCCAAAGGGCCACCTATGGGCGATCGGATGTGCGTGATGGTTGGCAACATTGTGCAATCACGAAGAGCGCAGTCAGCAGGCAAAACATGCGGGGTCAGCATGGCAGCCCTGGAATCATGAAATGAAGGGTGCTTTTCTTGCATGGAATCTGTGATAGGATGTGAGCTGAAAGGGTGACATGCCAGCTTTCTCTGAGCTTGGGTGCAGATGAGGGTTGTCAGAACAGAGGGCTCCGTGTACGACACGTTTCAGAGTTTGGACTGCCAGTGCTCAGGCAACCTTTGAGAAATGCTCTCCGTTTCTCATGCTTCACCCCGCGAGCCTTGAGCTTTTGGTCTCGCTTGGACGCGCCACGCTCCACTCCAAGCCTTGCCTCCAAGCCAGGCCCTGTGCTTGGGCCACTGGCTTTGTCTCAAGGTCGAGGCCGCGAAGCGACGTGCAAAAGGCCATCGTCAAACTCCAATAAAAGATGTCTCTTCAGCCCAGGGTTCCAATTTTTCACTTAAACCCGTGGGTTTTTCACCGGGAAATTCAACCCCCGGGTTTAAGTCTATCTTGGGATAGTGAGAAAGTGGATCCCTGCGTGCGTCAGGCGCTTGTCCGAATCCACTTTTGAAAGTGCCAAGCATCAGGCGTTTGCCTGGCGAATACAATCCTCTCAAGGACCCCCGAATGATGCCCGCAAGAAGTAGAGAGGTTGTGCTTTGCAACGAACCAACATGTTTGATGTCAATAGTTAAATTCGTGATAAAGCCACACATTTGTTCATGATCCAGACTTGTGTGAAGATTAGGCACACGTTTCATTAGATCGTCTGCTTTTGTCCCACTTCAAAGGCTTCAAGCATGCGGACCCTCGGAGTCACAGGAAGATCTTTGAGCTGTGAGTGACTGAGCTAGCGAGGACCGCTGGTGCTAGCTGTATTCAGCTTTTTTTCGCGCTGACATGGTATGTTTGGGTCGCCCTCCAAAGAGTTTCGAAAGGGAAGTGCAAGGAAGCCTGGGGAGCTTGAGGGTGTTCGTCATATCATGTGACAAATCCCATACCTATTTTTTGATTAAAAGCGGCAGGCGCCTGACAACTTCGCCCTGGACGGCACTCCTGTCCAGCTTGCAAAGATGCCGTTGGCCGACACTTGGCTGGCACTGGAGCCGAGGCGTGACACCAATATCACCCCGTGCAACGTAAGGGAAGCCGAAGCTGGCAAGCGCCTCATGGCAGGCTAGGTTGCTGTTAAATGATGTGTCAACCCCCACCAAGGCATGCTTTCAACAGGGTTAAGGGCAAATGGAGCAAACACATGGGTTGAGTCACAATTTGAACCTTGGACGCCTTGCCAAATCGCTGGATTTATTCCAGTGGTTTCAATACCAAGATGTGTGGCGCAAGATATGGATGTTGCGACGGCCGTCATAGTACTAGCTGGCTAATCAAGAGGTTGACCAGGCACAGACACGACGCTTGTTGCTTGGACAAGCAAGAATTGACGGCAGCTGTGCAGAAAGCACAGTCTTCACCCCAGGAGAGATCTGCCTCGACATACCCTTGGTTGTGGGCAGCTTAACGCAGCACTGAGAAGCTTGGCGGGAGGTTTTGTACAGATGTCTTTTGTTTCAGGGAGGCATCCGGATCACCTTGCAAGGTACATCCCCCCAATTTATCCGCAATGTTGATTTATCAGGGGTCGACATTAGCCGTTGATAAATCAGGGCATCACCCATGCTAGCTTCCAGCGCCTTTTTGTTGGTACATACCTATATCTCTTCTCAAAGCTTTGGATTTCCAGATGGGCGCAACACTAATGTAAAACAGTTTTTGCGGCTTCTCCAAATGACTGGGGCAGTTTCCCTTTCGCCACCTGGGGTTCTGAGCATGTCACTGGACCCAGATGCCTTCCAACGGCCGGATTTGGCATCGACCGGTCCGCATCGATCCGGCGAGGTTCGAGGTGGGCCTGCCTTGCACTGGGGAGTCCTACTGCGCTCCGCACCCTGCTCAGAGGGGACCAAAACGCGGCGAAAAGGGCGGCGGAAGGAGATTCATTTTGGCAGAGTTCGCCGGCCGAGGTTTATTTTCTGCTTGGCTTGGGTTCCAGCTATATAGCTAATAATTTTGATGAATGGAACATCCTCAAACAAGGATAGATGCTTCCTTTTTTTTCACCCACTTGTTTATTTGACACCCTTGGTCTATTTTCGTCGTTGCTTTCGAGCCCGACGGCTGAAGGGCTTATGTTCGTGCCCACATGGATCGGGCGCCTGAGGTTGGCGGATTGCTACGAGGCCTGTCGCCTGTCCGGCGACTTTGACGAGGCCGCTACGGGTGAGCTCCAAGGTGGCTCAAAAATCAATAAGACGGGTTACGCAGGTTTTGGTGTTTATGTTTCCACTTCCCAGGGCAACCCATTTTGGTACCGCTTTTTTGAAGCCAAATGAAACTGGACGGCACCCATGTTCGGGCTTCCCTTCTGCTCCCTGACCGAAGCATGAAGCCTGAGAGGATGGCAAGTTCTGAGCGCGCCCACTGTACTGGCCACCTCATATCTGTGTTTTGGCCCGACCATGTTGAAACCAAACCCCAGGAAAATGATTAATTAGCCAATTTCAATTAATGAGTCAATGTCCAAAAACGCGCTCTTTTGGTGACATATTGTACACCTTGGCCAAGGCGCGATCGGCCCCCCGGATTTTCCCAGGTCCGCCTCACATGCCGCCCATTTTGAGGCCTGTTGGCCCATTTCGCCGAACGTGCGCCCTTGGCAGCTTGAGGCCTGTTGGCAGTCTTCCTGCTGCCCCAGTTGGAGCCTCGGCTGATGGGTTGCGATTCTGGGTGTTTTCAGTTCCGGTGAAGCCAAAAAACACGGAGCAGGTGGAATATAGTTACATCGTATGCAGTATGTGTGTGTGTGTGTCTATATGTCGAATACTCAGATTGGCACCTCTTTTGGAACACGTTTCTTGCGTGTTCTGAAAAACGGGTCCAAACAGGGCTCCACAATTTGACAGCCCACTCATCCGTTTCAATCAGGCATGTCCACACAACGCGGATGTTGGAGCGCGGAGAGCTATGCAGGTGCAACGATGCGGGAGTTCAACAATTCAGAGCTGAACTACTATGTCGGCTGCTGAGACATGTTGGGCCTTTTCTGAGTTAGACTGACAGCGAAGGAGTTCTTGATGGCGTTCTCAGAAGTTCGCGATAGCCCAGTCTCCGCTGCGCGGGTGAACACGCAGCACGTGCCAGGGATTCGTTTGGTTTCCAACAGCAGCTGTGGGGGGTGTCCAACCCAGAGAGTCAAGAGGCCCTCAACAATGCAAGGGAGGTCCTGGCCTCTAAGGAGTCTGATGAAACGTGTTTAGGGTATAGGATGGACATCCCTCCTGCGCCAGTTGGACTGGTGGTTTATCCCAGAATTTCATCCAAGGTTTGCACCTTCACGCACAACTCTTGCCTCAGCAGGCACGTGCGGCCGGACCCGTTTGTTGTTTTGTTCTTTTTCCCCGTTTTGCCAAGCCTGCAAGCTGCCTTTTGAGATCTTTCGAAGCAAAACCCGAGGAGTCGATGGCTGGGCTCCTTGCATAGATGTTGATGGTGACTCAGATGATGTCCGTTAACAGACTCCTAATGTGCCGTGTTCAAAACCCATTGCTTTGGGTTGGTAGGGGTGGTCATGGATAATTTAGACAACTCTGTTTTTTTAAAGCATTGCCATACTCCACGGATTCGGAGTTTTGACCATGGCACGTATCGAGACTGGACGGCTTCTTGAGGTGCAACACGCACTTCAAGTCGCGGCGCTGCGGCAAAGATGGCGGCTTGGTGCAGCGTTGGCTCCTGTACCCCTCTTTTTTTTTGGTCTAGAAGGGAAAGGAACATCGCCTACTTTGGAGGGATAGCTGGCTTCACGTGTTGAAAAGATTTGAGTTACCGATATCAGCAAATGCCAGGCGATTCAGGGTCTAAATGTGGCACAGATGGTTTTCAGCCATAGCTTTTTCTCGAAAGGTGCACCCTGAAGCAGGGCTCCTTAAAAGATACATTTTGCCCATTTGAGACATGGCTTTTTTCACCAAAATACAGGGAAACTACCGTTTACAAGGCAATGTTCGGGTGTATGATGCATCCGGATCCCTGTGAAGGGATGGATAGCTTGGGCCAGTTTCCTGAGGCAAGACCTACTGCCCTGCTTTGGCTGACTGCTACGAGGCGTGCGCGAGGGCTTAGGGCTTTCGCCAGCTTCAAGGGGCATGGCTCACAATGAAAGAGCCGGGGTTACGGGTTTAGACTTTGGTTCCATGTACCAAGGTGCCATTCTGGATGATCAAAGCTGACGCAATAACACTTTTTGGTGCCTGGCACCCATGAGTTCACGGACTACCCCAGCTCCTGGTTTGCGCCGCTTCCTCTTTGACAGGGTTCAGTAATTTTAAAGGGCGTGTTTCCCCTTTGGTGGGGTGATAAACAAAGATTACATAGAGCCGCTCCCAATATTCTCAGCTGCCGCACGAGCCGCAGGCCTACAAACTGCCATGTCTTATGGATTGTCAAACAAACTTGTAGCGCTGCTTGCGGGATCCCCTGTTTTGGGTGGCAGCCTTGTCGAGGATGTGCATGCCAAAGCGATGCCACCCTTGGAAAACCTCATCAGCCAAAATCATCGTAGCGAAGGATTGACAACAGGGTCCCAATGGTAGTAGGGGCATGTCGCAGCACTCCGCCCAACCACTGCCTACCAAGGGGCTTCATCCTATACCTTGCCGTAACTCCCCCTCCCTCCTTTCCCTCCCCTCCCCAGCGCACTTGCGCGAGCCATGTTCCCCGGCCCAAGGCTTGCCGCCTCGATGGCCGGACGGGCAGCTGCCAGGACTTCCCCTGCTGTCCAGCGCCGCGCCCTGAGACGGGTTGATGGGTCGAGGGTCGAGGTGAGAATGTCCAGGCTGGTGTCGAGAGGGATTCGATTTCCCCGGTGGAACCAAGAGAACCACCGGACACAGCAAAAACCTAGATAAGGAGAATGGCTGGACCGGGATCCACTGGTTGAGGCCATGGCTCTCTCTCTCTCTCTCTCTAAAATCATCAATCCAGGGTCAAATGGACAGTGTGTTTAGGACACTTTGGGGGCTCCGTACAACCCCTGTACAACCCTGAGCAATCAATTCATAACCATAGATTTTGAGGTATGTCCCTGGGAATCGCGCTTGACCAAAGCTCAGTGCTCATGTCTTTCCTCCGAAGACTAACTCCTTCCCAAGCAGCAAGTGGACACTGACGTGTCACAGCTTCAGATGCAGAGCTTCCCGCCTCCCCCAATTTGACGCAAGTGCAAGAACCAGCAAAAGTCTACTGGGTGTCAACAGTTCAAACTTTGCATTCCAATCGATAGGGGTAGCTCATGTCCTGGATGCGAAGAGGCGCTTCCAACGTTCATTCCCGTTTCTTCCATGCCATATGCAGCAAGCGGTCCCTGCTCGAACTGCCAATCAGCTAATCAGCGCCACGAGATGCTGACCTTCACTCGGTTGATCTTTGGTTTGTCCCTTGGCCTTTAGTACAATGCTTGCTTGCTTGCTTGCTTGCTTGCTTGCTTGCTTGCTTGCTTGCTTGCTTGCTTGCTTGCTTGCTTGCTTGCTTTCTTGCTTGCTTGCTTGCAAGCTTGCTTGCTAGCTTGCTAGCTAGCTTGCTAGCTAGCTTGCAAGCTTGCTTGCTGGCTGGCTGGCTGGCTGGCTTGCGCACTGACTGGCATCCAAGACAAACTTGTTGCAGGGAGTCAAAATTCGACGAGTTTAGAAGCTGGTCGACTTCTCACCCATTCCCTTGATTCGAGGGGTTGTGCTTGGATTGCGGAGGTGCTCATTGTTTCTCCGCACGGCGGTTTCCTAGGGATGGTCATGGCTTACACTGGATCCTTGCAGGAAGGTAGATGGCTTCAACGAGTCCACCGAGAAGTTTTTCCTTTGCGCCACTTGGCTGCCGCCAAATCTTGTGCTGTCACAGTATCTCCATTGCCAGACTACGCCAATCTGTTTGCCTTTTTTTTGAGGCCCACGAATACGAACATGTTGAAGTGGTTTCAACATTACTTTTGAGTGTGGTTCCCTTCAAGACTCCGTTTAGACATTTTGGATCATGCTTGTGGCTTTTGGGTTTCCATTGACCACTAGGGAGGGTCCTGTAGTCACCTAACAAGGTTCCAGCGGATGGCAAGCCTCACTTCAAGCCTGGCTTCATGAGGGTTGTGGCGGGTAGGACTTAGATGTTGAAGTCCAGACATTTCGGAGGTTGCCAACAGCCACTTGGGACACCGAGAACCCATCACAGGCTCTTGCGCTTCGAATCGATGCGCTCGGCTCAGGAGCATGTTGGCAACACGTGTTTGACCAGTGCTGGCCTGAGTCTTTTGGACAGCTTGGATTGCACCCAACCATTTGACGGCAGCTGAGTTTTGCATCCGGAAGCCGGATTATTTCTGGCATCTCTTTGACACAACCCCAACAAGCTACCCTCCCAAAAATACATCCCACACCAGAGCCCACCTTTCCATGTGAAATGAAAATGCAAAAGTGCCGAGTCTGACACAAGTGCCAGCCCCATTTCGATTCAACTGGGATGATTACGCTCCCGCTGAACATGGACCCCACCAGCGGGGATCCAAACGGGCGAGGCTGTAACGAGGAGCACGGGCCTTACCGCTATTGCGACGGCCGCAGCCACTGCAAGCAGCTGGCGGGCTGCTATGAGGCGCGGACACGGACTGCGCAATCAGCTGACGAAACCTCCAAAAGGTTTGGCCTACACATCCCCATTATGTCCACCAGAGGGGTCCTCAATGAAGAGGCAACAGAGCCATGTGGGTGTGGTTTAGAATTAAAGAGCTAGGTTTGGTTCCATTTACCAAGGTACCATTTGGGTACATGTTTTTGAGCCACAGCCATGTTGGTAGGTTTTGTTTGAGTAGCTTACCCTTGTTTGGAACAACAACTCCACAACGTCTTCGGCTCACACCGCTGACTTTACAGGCCTGAGCAGCTAAACGGCTGTTTGATTAGCGGAGATGCTGCCGACGAAGCTGCTGGCTGGTCGTGCTCACCATGTCATGTGAATGGCCCCCCCTTTGTTGTGGACCAGTCGGGCTCTGCGGGCTCGGGGTAGCAGATCCCTGTGTTACACGGACGTTTCGCGCAGACATGGAAGGGCAGCTACGCGCGAAACTCGCAGAAAGCCGAGAAGCCGCAAGCGGGATGTCAGCCAAGCGCCCGGGCTGCAGTGCTTGGATCACTGCCCTTCGCAACGCACGCAATGTAAACCTGAACGAATTGCTGGCAAGTTCGGTGGCAGCCTGTCCACTACGCTGTGGATGCAGTCCCAATTGCAGTGCTTGCTTGTGGACGAGCTGGTGCGCACGCAACAAGCGCAGAGCCAAGTGACGCTTTTGCCCCCGACGACTTGCGCAAAAAAAGAAAGAGCTGCTGTGGGCGCATTTGATGTTATGTTATGCTGCAAAAAGCTGCCCAGCGCAACAGGTTCTAGCGGAAGGACGGTGGTACCTCGGCTTGCGACATGAGCAAGGTCACATGTGGCGACTTTGCCATGTTTTCCCGACTGTTTTGAAATGTCCCGCAGGACCCAGGTAGCGACCTTGGCCACTTGCTCATGTATCGCTTGTGGGACAGGAGGCAGCTAAGCATTTGTGTGTGTGATGACTGGTGAAGACGGGCGCACGACGCGGCCACGGGGCTACGTTGGCCCAACGGGCCACGACGGGGCCACGACGGGCCCACGACGGACGACGGGCCCGTCATTGTAGCTGCGCGCTGGCGTGGCTGCTGTGGCCGTGCCGTGAATTCTGGTGCTTGCGCAAGCGCAAACACAAACACGGTAAAGCCGCACGAAGGCAGTGGTTTTGTTTGCGACGAACATGTTAGGAAAAAGTCGGCGACTTCAGCCTTGAGTTTGTTTTTGTTGGGTCCGTCGCGTCCCCTCGTTGTTCATTTTCCATTGATTATTTGCAATCCACTGAGATTCCAAGTTGGAGATGGATTCAAGTTGATTCAAGACGCTCAGCATGATCCTTTGGTACTCTAGAAACGATGCCGCTAGGACACTTGAGGTGATGCGGTCCGCTTGCTCAGTTGCTTGGGCTCCGAAGGTATCATCAGCCCATGTCTGGCAAGGGGCTCTCATCAAGGGAAGCAACGGGTGAAGTACAAAACCATAGCATGTCACATGATTTTTTAACAATATTAGTTGTAGTCTTCTGTTGGTTTGGAGGATGCCCCGGGTTTCACACAAAACCCCGGGACAAACCAACTTTTCCATATATCCTTGTTAAGTCTGTCCGGGGCTGGTATGGTGGCAGGAGTGCGCCAACTTCGGCCTTGCGCCGGAGCTTTGCTCTTCAGAGACCAGCTGCTGCCCGGTGTTTGGTGATGCAGGCCGGGCGATGTTGAAGAGGGCAATGGGAACCCAAGATTTGTAAATCCTGGTTGAATAGCGGGTGTGCCATTTTGGAGGGAATCCTCATTTCTGGGGGAGCACCCCCCCCCCCGTTTCAATCCATATAAATCCGCGGTCGACATGCGACCAGCCAAATCCCAGGATCGCCACCGTGATTGGTTTTGTGGCATTGTGCCTGTGACACCATGCACATTTTTCTTCCTGCCATAGCGCTTTCGGGAGGTTGCATGTCGTCTTAGCAAACTTTTGGGGAAAGACATCCCGGAGAGTGGGCCCAGATGGCACGGACGGCTACCTCGACCCGGATTTGGGCTACTTCACCTGCGACGATGGGAACCCATGCTTGGACCGGTGTTCGATTTTGCTTGTTTGCAACCGGCAAGCAGAGTGACTAGCAAACATCTGGATGGTTGTTCTGAGTAGATTATTTTTTGACTTTTCAAAATCATTACTCAGTTCGTGTGCAGAAGGTAGTGGGTTTCCTTGTTGTAGTCGTGCCCAACTATGGATCAGGGATCCAACCTGGGTTTTCGGTGGCTGTCCCGAACGAACACAAAGGGCTGGCCAACTCTGAGGTCCGAGCCAGGCTTTGATTCTGGCTCACATTGCGCGAGTACTGCATCTCTCCTGGCTTACAGATATCGAATTGGGATTGCACATCGCACCAAGAAAATCACCGAAGTGGATTTTTCATCGGCCTTTCGCCATACACATTTTGTCGTGACTCACCTCCTTCAGCCGAGGAAACCAAGCAACAAAAAAACTGTCCTCGCAGATCAGCCAGGCTGAAGGCCACGCAAAATCAGATCCGAGCTCAGACTGAAGGACCGGCACCGTAGATTTCCGGTACTTCGCTTTGGGCTGCCATGGGCCTGCGGCCGAGCCCTCATGGCCGCAGAACCACTTGCAAGGGCTCTCATTTTTGTTTTTTCTTCCTTCAGCTGGATGAATGAGTCCGGGCAAAACAAGATGGCGCCATCTTTTGCCGAACCTTCCATCCGTGTGTTTGCGATTTGGGCTGAGGTCCCATGGCCTGTGGGTGCCTCTTCTGGCGGGGAGGGGGGAGGGGGGCGTGATGGGTCGGTCGATGATGGTGTCGATGGGACAGAATGGTTGGGACACAAATGGCTGTGATTTTCAATGGTTGGAACCCCCTGAGAAGTGGTTTGTGGAATCCCCACCAAGCTGATGCCACCGAAGCGTCTTAAAATTCATACCCAAATCTTCATGTGGAAACTCCACCAAACGGTCCCCCATTGTCCAGCAAATTCTGATTTGAATCAAAGGCTCCGCCTTGGATTCGGTTTGGAATCTGTTAAGAGCGGCAGATGTGTGCCCTGCCAAACTCAAGCTTTCGTCGTGCGTTGAAACATGCACTGGGAGGCAAGAGAAGAAGCTATTCTAGTTGTCACGCACACAGACAAGTATGATAAACTATACGCAGCGCATGTGACCTTCTGCTCTTCATGCAGTCCATATTGCTCGGCTTCCTAGTTGCACACCGCGCAGCAGTGCGTCCCGCGTTTTGGCGCGCTGAGGGTATTCTCGTCGTACAAGGCTTGCGCCGGGCATCGGGAAGCATTTCTTACGGCTCACACGTAGCTTCTCCACGTGCGGAATAGCAACTTGCTGCGTGAGCTACAGGGCTGTTGGGGCTAATGCTGGTCGATTGGTCCAGGTCAAGCTGAGCCCAAACCGGCCAAAAATCAGCGGACAGCTCTTTCTTTCAGAGGGACCAAGCTTGGACTCAGAAAGTCGAGACGGATCCCCCAATTTTCGTGGGGTTGAGTCTTACTTTCTAGCAGCATAATTTGACGACCCTCAGTCAATACCCGGCGAACCTCTGGTGAACCCTTGTCGCGTAGGCTTTCGAACATCAAACCGTTCAGACAATTCCCAACGCTTGGTCCACAAAGTTTCTCTCAGATCCCAAGCGCCGCGAACCGGATGCGAGATGCGACTCGAATCGGCCAGGCGGCCACCGGTTGCTTCGTGGCGCCGCGGCGCTTGGTGCCCTCGCTCCTACAGCGCCGGGCGCTTTCCGTGGACCAGGAGGCCAGCTCCTGCCCGCTTGCTGGGGAGGGGGGGAGTAGGCGCAGGTTTTTGGTTGGAGGCGCGCCAGTTCTTGTCTTGGGTTCTTTTAGGACGTCCGTTGTCAGAGTTCACCCTTTCAAGGTCCGAATCCGTTCGTGGATGCGGGCATGGTGGGATTTTGGCAGCTCCAAAAGCGGGTGGAAGTTCCGTTGCGCCAGCTTGCAGCTTGCGGGTACAGGGATTTGACAGAGTCGTGCCTCCGTTTGAGGCATTGCTTAAATTCCATGGGGCTTCGAAGAAGTCGTGCCTCTTTCCAAAACGCATAGGAACTCTGCATGTTTGAAGGGATAGGCATTGCAGTTGAAAATGGTTATTCCGTGGGGTTTAGGATGGTTTAGGCATGTTCTATCTTATCCGCCTTGGAGCATTTACAGTGTGTTTCGCAATCTTGAGACTTGACGTCTCTTTTGCTACAGCTGGTTCGAGTCGGCACCTTGCTTTTCCTCTCACCTGGACTAACCTGGCGTGTTTGCAGGGCTGAGCGGGTGCGCTTGAGGGGGTGCTTATTATTTGGCTGGCGCCTGTGCAGCGCTGAGCCGGTGTGCTTGAGCGGGGGTGCTTACCATTTGGCTGGCGTGTGTGCGCAGGGCTGAGCAGGCGCGCTTGAGCGGCTGGCGTTCGCAGGTGCGAAATTGAGTTGAAAAGTGGGTGCGGAAGTGGGTTGATGGGAGCGGGCGCAGAAGTAAGTGAACTTGTGGGCGCGGGTTCGGCACATGTGGGCCCAAAATATCCCAAAATCTTCAACGGACAGTCTGTGATCTCGTTTTGATCTCGTTTTGATCTTGGTTTGATCTCGTTTTGATCTCGTTTTTTTTTTGCCAGGGTGCATTGCATATGTGCCTGCCTGCCTTCCAGGCAAAGAACTCCAGGACGTGGAAAGACACGGCGCAAGAGCCTGCAAAGCCCACCCATTGTGTCACGTCTTACTAAACTCTCCTGCAACAACCTATCGCATGCTTGGCGTTCCCGGGCTGGAAAACATGCTTTGCCATCAGTAGCGTTCCATTGTGTTTCAGTGTTGACACCTGTCTTTGTGTAGCATGACCAGCTCGGTGATGTCAAGCGTTCCATGGGGATTGTTGCCGAGGCGTGACTTAGGAGTGACTTCTTGGAATCGGCGTTTACATGGGGGAACGCATGGCCACACAGATAAAGGAGTGACTTAGGCATGACTTTGTCGTTTGCCTGTAGCAAGCATGATGCCCAGAAATGATTTCGAGTATTTTTGGAGAGCAGTCTTTCCACCTTGCGTATCTCTAAACCTGAGGCTGACATTGCCCACCTTTCTACTTTCCTTCGCTGACGGGCCTCCCACATTGGACGCAACAATTGCTTACTTGAAAGAGTGAGACTGCAAAGGCGTTCGATCCCTTCAACGGTCTAAGCCCCGAGTTCCCAATAGCGTTGGGTTTGAAATTGGATTGTGAACACTCTGAGAAAGGCTCCATGTCCAACTAAATCAGTTGGGCACTCACAAGCACAGCCTTTCGATTTTCCAACAGGCACCTAGGGCGCTATGAGCGTGCAGGCAAAATGCCCCAGTACGAACTACTCACCGTCCAATTAAATCTGCTACCCAAGTTGTCGCATCGCCGTGACGGGGCTGGAAATTCGACTGACGAGACGAACGCGCGGCAGGTGGCCGAGCGCTTTTGGGCGAAAGAGCTGCCCAAGTTGCAGGAGGAGGCAGCTAAGAGACTAGGCGCAGTGCCTTCGTTTGGAGCAAAGCGGCTGTTTCGTCCGCTCAACATTTGTGGTATTCTGAGGGCTGCCCAAAGCGGGAATGACCTTGCGCAGTTTCAGTTGCATTCTAATTGAATTTAGTTTGTGTGGTTCCCTCTACATTCAGACTTGATTCTGTGAAAAAGCACAAGCGGAAAACAACAACAAAAAGCAGCAGCAACAAAAACAACAGCAGCAGCAGCAACAACAACAACAACTGCAGCAGCAGCAACAACGACAACGGCAACAACAACAACAACAACAACACCAACCGCAACCACAACCACAACCACAACCACAACCACAACCACAACCACGACACAAACAACCACACCAACAACAACAGCAACAGCAACAACCACATCATTATCATCATCAACAACAACAACAGCAGCAGCAGCAACAGCGGCAACAACAACCACAAACACAACCACAACCACAACCACAACAACAACCACAACAGCAACAACAGCAGCAACAGCAACAGCAACAGCAACAGCAACAATAACAACAACAACAGCAACAGCAACAGCAACAGCAACAGCAACAACAACAACAACAACAACAAACACCACCAACAACAACAACAACGACAACAACAACGACAACGACAACAACAACCACAACCACAACCACAACAACAACACCAACAACAACAACAGCAACAACAACAGCAACAACAACAGAAGCAACAACAACAACAGCAACAGCAACAGCAACAGCAACAGGAGGAATAACAACAGCAACAGCAACGTCAACAGCAGCAATAACAACAGCAACAGCAACATCAACAGCAGCCACAACCATAACCACAACCACAACAGCGACAGCACCAACAACAACGACAACGACAACGACAGCAACTGCAACAGCAACAGCAACAGCAACAGGAACAACAGCAACAGCAACAGCAACAGCAACAACAACAGCAAACAACAACAAACACCAACAAGCAACAACAAACAACAACAAACCAACCAACAACAACAAACCAAAAGCAAACAACAACAAACAACAAACAACAACAAACAGCAAAAACAGCAAACAACAACAAACAACAATAAAGAACAACAAACAACAACAATCAACAACAATCAACAACAAACAACACCAAACAACAACACCACACAACAACACACAACAACAAACAACAACAAACAACAAACAACAACAATTAACAACAAACAACAACAAACAAAAACAACAACAAACAACACCAAACAACAACTCACAACAACAAACAACACCACGCAACAACAAACAACACCAAACAACAACAAACAACAACACACAACAACAAACAACAACGAACAACAACAAACGACACCACACAGCAACAAACAACATCAAACAACAACAACAACAACAACAAAAACAACAACAACAAAAACAACAACCAACAACAACAACAACGACAACGACAACGACAACGACAACGGCGACAACAACAACAACCACAACCACAACCACAACCACAAACCACAAACCACAAACCACAACCACAACAACAACAACAGCAACAGCAACAGC